GGGGTGAACGACAGAAAGTTTCCTCTCACTGAGAACCAAACGTTCAGTCTTTAATCTCAGAGATGAGCAGATTAAAGGGTCTGTCAGGGTCTCTGTTGATAGCTCCGCCCCCTCAAACACACCTGCAGAAGGGACACCTGACACCAAACATCCAGGAGGACAGTTATTCTGACAGACTGAAGGTCCGTCCTGACCTGAAGCCTGAAAGGTCAAACTTTTAAAGAACAACCCTGAACCGACATTAAAGGGACAGTTCAAATGTTATCTGGATGTTTTACAGTGTAGAACTGGTGTTTTTTATTCATTTAATTTAAAACTAAGAATTTTACACACATTAAAAATAAAAATATATACACAACATATCACAACAAAAAACAATATACACAAATCAAACTGAAATGAAAGGAGGCAGAAAGAAAAAAACAACCTTATATCTGCCCCTTTTTTCTACAATTAATTTAACGCAATAATAATTAGGAAAAATAAATAAATAAATAAAAACTTCAATTCATTCTCAAACAACAACTTAGATATACATTATAGAGTTTCATATTTCTTTAACAAACTTATTTTTATCTTTCTCTTAAACAAACACATTGAACCAACATTTTTATAATCACTTTCCAGATTATTCCACAATCTTAATCCCTGAACTGAAGTTCATCGATCCTTCAAGTCCTTTAAGATTATAAGAACTTTGTCTCTAAACAAAATATAACTGGATGTTTAAAGGTAATTGTTTATGAGTCTTATACATAATCTGCAAAATATTATAATCAACCAACTCATAAAATTTTAATAATTTCAATTTAAAAAACAATATATTTATTTATTATTATTATTATTTTTTTTTTTGAACTTATAGAGCGCTTTTTGAAGGGTGACTGTAATGTTTTCTGGTGATAATTCTTACTGCTCTTTTCTGTAAAATAAAAGTAGGATTTGTGATTGTTTTACATGCTTTGCCCCAGACTTCAACACAGTAAATAAATGTGGGACAATTATTGTGTTATATAATACAAACAGAGCTTTATCATTAAATAACTGCCTGACTTTATACAGTACAACAGATTTAGCTATTTTTGTTCTTCAGTAAATCACAGGAGCTCTCCATGTCAGCCCTTCATCAATCATAAAGACCAAAAACTTTATCTCACTGACTCTACTCATCTCAACACCTTCAACTTTAACTGGAAAATCAATAGTTTTCTTTTTATTACTGAACATCATGTAATTCGTTTTATCCAAGTTTAGCAACAATTTGTTAAGTTTGAACCATGTTTGTATTTTTTACAAATTCTGTTCTACATTCATTTCTCACCAGTCTTGAAAAGAGGGATTACTTTAGTTATTTTCATATTGTCTGGAAATATTCCTGTTGTAAATGATAAATTACACATTTATGTAAACGGTTCAATCACATTATTGTTTTTAGAAACATCATGTCCATGTCTACCCAGTCTTTTTTTGTTTGTAAGATTTTTAACAAAACTCAGTATTTCTTCTTTGTTTGTTCCATCAAGAAAAATACTGTTGGTACAACCCATCATTGTAAGATTCACATCATTTTCTACTTTTGGTATTTTCGCTGCAAGACTGGGGCCAACATTTACAAAATAATGATTGAACCCATTTACAATTTCATTCTGATCATGTAATTCATTCCCATCCTGTAGAAAACATTGTGAGACACCTGAATTTACTTTATGAGTTTTCAGAACACTATTCATTAGTCGCCATGTTTCTTTCATATCACCATTGTTTTTATCTAATAAACCACTGTAATTTTCTTTCTTATAATCCACACCAGCTTATTTTTATACTTTTTGTATCTTTCTTCTGCTTCTTGTGTTCTTGACTTCAGAAAGCATGAATACAAGTTGTGTTTTTTTATACACACACTTCTTAAGCCTTTAGTCATCCGTGGTTTATCAACACTATTTCTCTTTGTATAATTTTTTTGCACACAAGTTTTTTTGTGCAGATTTTCTAAAATGTTCATGAAAGCATCATATGCTTTGTTTACATCATCAACATAAACATCTTTCCAATTTTGATTCATTAAAATACCTTTTCATTTGTCCAACACTTTTTTTGATGTGTTTTTTTTCTTGGTTGTAACTACTTTTGTATTATATTTATTGCTTTTATAAATTGTGAAAACCAGCAAGTGATCACTTAAATCAGTAATCAAAATACCAGCCATTACTTCTGCTTGTTATATTTGTAAAAATATTATCAGTTATTGTAGCACTGTGAGTTGTGATTCTTGTAGGTTTTGATTTTAACAGATAGAGATTCAAACTTTACACTGAATTTATAAAAGTACAAATATTATTTAAGTCTGTTTTATTACCCAGATCAATGTTAAAATCTCCACAAAAGAAATTTGTTTTATTTAAAGACCTTTCCAGTAGTTCCATAATTTGATCCGTGAATACATTTATACTTTAGTCAGGTGATCAATATACACAACTTATTATTATGTTTTTGGAATTCTCATTTATTATTTCAACTGTAATTATTTCCATAATACCATCTATGCTTATTGACATTTTATTTATTATTTTACATTTTATTCCCTTATCAACAAAAAGAGCCACTCCTCCACCTCTTCCATTGTTTCTGTTCCTATAACACAGTTCATATCCCTCAATGTAAACACAGTCTGTGTTTTACAGTGTAGAACTGCTTGTTTTTTCAGTCTCTATCAGGAAGTTTTACAGTGTATAATTGAATGTTTTACAGTGTATATCTAGATGTTTTGCAGTATTTAACTGGATATTTTCCAGTGTATAACTGGATGTTTCCAGTACAGGGGTGCAGGGTGGGGTGGTCTTCAGTACCTGTGTGGTTCTGTCACTGAGTCCTCGGAGCAGCAGGGTGATAACGTGGACAGCAGCTCTCCTCACCTCAGCCTCCTGCTCTGTTTTTATCAGAGCTGTCAGACAGGAGCTCAGCTGCACAGAAACACAAACGTCTTCATGGTGTGAAATCACAAACTGTTTACCATTACTACAATTATTATTTTATTTATTCAACATGTTTCCCTCTCACCTCCTGGGTCAGTGGGCCCAGAGCGAAGTCCAGTCTCTGACAGAGCTCTCCCAGGTTGGACAAGCTGCTGGCTCGGACACTCTGATCCGGATCCTTGGTTCCCTGCAGGAAGACGCTGAGCAGAGGACGGCCGTGGTGGGGCGCCAGTTCTCCTGTGGGAGGGAGAGACGTGCTGACATGCTGAACGGTGATAAGGTGTTCACTAATCGTATCACCTAAAGCACATTCTGTTAGAGATGACCGTGACAGAGACAGATTACATCCGTTTATCACCATTTATAAAAACAGACAGATTATCATACTGTGGCCTAATTCTCTGCTACAAACAAGAACGTGTCGAGGATTAAATCCTTCAGACTGAAACCTGCAGCTGTCCACAGAGGAGACAAACGTCTCCAAGAGTACGGATGGGTACCAAATTCTATACTTTTATAAGTACCAACTGAATTCTGTCGGTACTACTGAGAATCTCTTTACATAACATCAAACGGTACCATGTTTCAGTACCTAAACGCATCATTGCGACCAGGGGTGTAAGAAAATATCGATTCACTGAAATATCGCGATATTTCATTTCCTGATACTGTATCGATATTCTAAAGCCCTGTATCAATTTTTATTAAGGTTTAAAATGTCAACTTTCCTGCCAGTCGTTCATTTTTATGTTGTAGTTCAGCCTCTGACCACTAGTTGGCAGCAGTGAGCCAGCCATTTGGCTCCTCTACCTCTTGAGCGCCAGAGAGTTAAGGTTACAAACAGTTACTTATTTGTCACAATGTCTGGATTTTAAGACAAATTAAGAGCGTAATGACGTCAGCAGCTGCTGCTTCAGTAAACAGTTCAGTCTGAATGTAGCTGAAAGCCTCGCAGCTCCTGGAGTAAAACTCATCGAACAGACCGCCTCTGAATTATCTGCTGGATTAATTATCTGCTGGATTAATTATCTGCTGGATTAATTATCTGCTGGATTAATTATCTGCTGGATTAATTATCTTGTGAACATGACGTTCACTTGTTCAAAGTAAATAAAGTACACCACTTTCTTTATTTCATCCTCCATTAAACAGAGAGCAGCAGAGGAAACAACAGAGGAGCTTCCTGACAGTCTGAACACGTCTGACCTGAAGAACAAGCTGCTGACTTGAACTGTTTGAGCTTTTGGACGTTCAGAACGAAGCTTAAATATCTTTTATTTATTTTAACTCCATCCTCTTTTTCTTATTTGATTTAAACTTATTTACCTTCATGGACCTCCATCACATAATGTTTCTAGTGGGGAAATGACATCAGTAGAAACACGTGGAGCTGGATTTTAATTTGTACAATAAGACAAAACAGTCTGTTGTTTTCAACAGTTTTCACTTCAAAGACATAAGTTACACAACTGATGTTACAACACAAAGAGCTGGATGTTGTCTTGATATTTGTTACTTTTTATATATTGAAAAATATATTAAATAAAAAAATAAAAGTTTATTATTGAAAAAACACACGCAAAGTAATGAAAATTGGTACCGTTAAGTACCGGTACCGTTTCCCAGGTACCAGATATTGGTACTGAATGGATTCAGATGTCAAAGGTACCGTCCCTATCAGGAGGAAAGGTTGATGGACGGATGAGACAGTTTGGACCCAACAGACATTTAATCAACTCTGACTGGTTTTCATTTGGATTTATTTTTACCAGTAATTTAAATTTCTGCAACAATCAGATGTTCTTGAAGCTCATAAATAATTCAGTGGTCCTGAGGAGCAGAAGGTCTGAGGACAGTCTCCTGCTGACGGGCCAGATGTGGTCCGACACCAGCTGGGTTTGTTCCGTCACAAAGAACAGAACCGGCTGCAGCTGCTCCTCCTCACCAGGCTGGGAGAGCTGACAGCGGGCCGGTTCGTGTGGACGTGATCCAGAAACACAAACACTGATCTGGACACACAAACCCAAACGGAGCCAGACGTCCATCTGCTGGCCGTTAACGAGCCGGTCCATGAACAGAATCTTTCTGAGGCTCGGTCCAGTTCCTCCTCCCAGATATAAACCCTGATTGTTCTGCAGAAACGGCACCAAGGAGTTCTGCCACAGCGACCCAGAGCTGAGCAGGAAAAACACACAGCCCCACCCCACCCGGACCACTGAGAACTGGCCTGAACTGTGGTCTGGTTCTGATACAGTCCAACTCACAAGCAATGATCCGATTATTTTTCCAGATTTCTAACAGTTACACTCGTCTCACCAAGAAAACATTTATTTATTTCATCAGTTTGGACCCATTCTGAAGCTCACCCATGGCCCGGCTCGCCCGCATCAGAACCTCTCCCACCTTCAGCCGGGTCTCCAGCGAGCGCTGCTTGTTGGACGAAGGGAGGGACGGTCCGAGTCGGAAATCTCTCAGGAGCCTCTCCAGGATCTGGTCAGGGTGGGAGTCAGCCAGAACCGCCAGACCTGCAGAGAGTTTACAGTCAGTCCATCAGCTGTTCTCTGTTAGCGGGTCTGTTAGCTACATGTTAGCAGGTCAGTTAGCTACATGTTAGCAGGTCGGTTAGCTACATGTTAGCAGGGCTGTTAGCTACATGTTAGCAGGTCTGTTGGCTACATGTTAGCAGGGCTGTTAGCTACATGTTACCAGGTCGGTTAGCTACATATTAGCAGGGCTGTTAGCTACATGTTAGCAGGTCCATTAGCAGGTGAGTTAGCTAGATGTTAGCAGGTCAGTTAGCTACATGTTAGCAGGGCTGTTAGCAGGTCAGTTAGCTAGATGTTAGCAGGGCTGTTAGCAGGTCAGTTAGCTAGATGTTAGCAGGGCTGTTAGCAGGTCAGTTAGCTACATGTTAGCAGGGCTGTTAGCAGGTCAGTTAGCTACATGTTAGCAGGGCTGTTAGCAGGTCAGTTAGCTACATGTTAGCAGGTCGGTTAGCTACACGTTAGCAGGGCTGTTAGCAGGTCAGCTAGCTAGATGTTAGCAGGTCAGTTAGCTACATGTTAGCAGGGCTGTTAGCAGGTCAGCTAGCTAGATGTTAGCAGGTCAGTTAGCTACATGTTAGCAGGTCAGTTAGCTACATGTTAGCAGGGCTGTTAGCAGGTCAGTTAGCTACATGTTAGCAGGTCAGTTAGCTCAATGTTAGCAGGGCCATTAGTAGGTCAGTTAGCGGGTCAGTTAGCTGACCGTCAGTTAGTCGAGGCGTTACCTTGGATGGCGGACAGGTAAACAAACGGATCTTCGTGCTCCAGGTTCTCCAGGAGGAGCTGCAGAGGACAGATGGTTTCAGTGATTTACTGCTGATCTGAGGTCCAGACGTTAAACAAAGACATCAAAGAGAATAAAACATATAAAGAGTATTGATCCGATTTGGCCTGCAGATCCAAGGATCAGAACCCGACACACCAAAGGAAAAATCAATACCGGGCCTTTCTGATGGATCAGCGGGGGTTTCTGATCAAAGAGCTTCATGAAGGAGACGGTGTGGGGGCAGGCTCATGTTCCAACAATCCCACCTTAACAAGCCCCCAGGAGAGCCGGGAGTACCGGTTCTGACCGGCTCATTTATTATAAATGTCCCAGCAGGCTCAGATGAAACCAGATCCTGATGGGCTCGTAAACACACCGGGGTGGGGGTCTTTATTTTGAAACAACAGGACAGGAGAGTTGTTGCAGCTGTCTGGAACCAAACTGCTCAGCCTCAGAACCTCAGAACCAGGAGGAGCAGTGTGGAGCCAGGCCCGGCTGGGGAACACTGGACCAGATCTTCTCTAAGGGGCTCCAGATCCATAAGTTTGGTGGATCTGGAGTTTGTGTTCCTGAAGGATCTCTGTCAGAACATCACTGTAAACATCAGGAAACAACAGAACCACAAACCAGCAGGACTTTCTCCTGAGCCTGGACGGCCTCGGGGTCTTTACGCTGCACCTTCTGGGTCAGGATCCTCATAGCGAACGCTCTGGTCGGCACATCTGGGTCACACGCCTCTAACAGCCAATCAGAAAGACTCTTACTGGAGGAATCAGGGTCACCTTGTGGACCGGGACTCTGACAGGGTTCTGGATGCCTGCTGTTGGTGCTGACAGGAGTCTGCGAGATGTTTCCCTCACGCTGTAACTTCGAGGAGCCTCCAGGGTCTCTGGAGCCCAGACCAGCACCGGCAGCAGCCAGGTCTTGGGGCCGGTAGGCGCCGTGAGTGGCGATGACGGCTCTGAGGTTGGATGCCAGCTCCTGGACCAGCGGGTCGGGATGCTGCAGAGCCAGAGTCTGCAGAGGAGGGAGCAGTCCAGACATGCAGGAGTAATCCTCGGCCCTGATCTGAGGAGACACCAGGACTTTAATGAGTCTCAGCTTCTGCAGGTGAGAATCATTTACACGTCCAACAGAAGACACCTGTCCTCAGCACCTGAGGTCCAGACAGCAGAGTCGCTACCAAACCCATCCCCATGCTCAGAGTCTGGGTCTCCACAGGGTTTCCAAGACCTGGTCCAGAGGCCACGTCCAGACCCACGCAGGCTCTCTGCAGCAGGGATACCATGAAGTCCACCACCTGCAGAGAGACACGTCTGAATGTCCTGCTGTGACCTTTGACCTTTAACCACAGCTCATTGTTAGCCACATGATAAACCCAGTAGTTCTGTTGGACTGGTAGTAGCTGAGAGTGATCTTCAACACTGACCTGTGAGGTCTTCCTCAGCAGCTGAGTGTGCTGCAGACACTCTGTCATCACAGCCACCACCTGAAGAAGAGCCAGCCTCTGAGCTCGCCTCTCAGCCCCGCCCAGCAGACAATGCTCCGCCTCCAGCAGCGTCACGGCTGCCACGTTCATCTGCTCTTCATCCCTCCTCATCTCCTCATCTGCAGCCGCCGTCCAGGTGGTCAGGTCCTGCAGGAGCAGGAACACCAGCAGAGCTTAAAATGAAACCAAGTTAGACCTCCAACAGATCATTAGATCATGTTAACCTGATCTTTACCTCCAACAGATCATTAGATCATGTTAACCTGATCTTTACCTCCAACAGATCATTAGATCATGTTAACCTGATCTTTACCTCCAACAGATTAGATCATGTTAACCTGATCTTTACCTCCAACAGATCATTATTTACCTTCAACAGATGCAGGAAGAAATCTCCAGGCAGGTCACTCTCCTTGACTTCAGCCAGCAGCTGCATCAGACACTCCAGCCTCCACTGCTCTGCTGACAGCTTCTCATACAGCTGATCGTCCTCGTCTCTGAGGCGACAGCAGGTGAGTCACGCACACACGCACACAGGTAAGTAACCAATCAGGACGTGTGGTCACCTGCAGCTCTGCCTGAGGACGAGCCTGACGCCTCCGTCACTTCCTGCAGAGAACTGGAAGTCGTCTGCGACGTCGTTTCTTCGTTGTTTCAGACCTGAAAGCTGCTGCAGCATGGACAGAGCTGCAGAAGACTCTGAATGGTTCAGGAACCACAGCAGGACCTCCTGACAGGGGGCGCTAGAGAGCAGAGGACACGTGAAAGATGCTGAAGACTAAATCTGAGGTAGAACTAGAAAAATTGCATTTCCTGTGAAAATGCTGAATGCTTCATTCTTAAAACATAAGCTGAAACTGAGCTGAAAATATTTAAGTGTTAATGTGAGCTCACTTTGAAAGAAGCTGAAAGAAGCAGAAAAGCCTAACTTTGCAGAAAAAACAGTAAAAAGTAGCACAAATCTAGCTGAAAACAGCTAAAAGCTAAGAGCTAAAATAGCTGAATATAGTTGAAAACATCTGTAAGAAGCATAAATAGCACTAGGTAGCAGAAAAATGCATAAAAAGTAGAAAAAAGCTGAACAATAACAGAAAGAAGTGGATCTATAGCTAAAGTAGCATAAAATAGCTAAATGTAGCATAAAATATGCTAAATGTAGCAGTCACAATTTGAAATTAGCACCCAGTTGAAATAGTTATAGTTGAAAAACAGCTAAAACAGTTAAGAGTTGTTAGAGAAGCTAGCTAATAGCAGCTAAATATTAGCTAAAAGTTCTGCAAATAGCTGAATATAGCAGAAAGCGTCTGTAAGAAGCCTAAAAAGCACAAAGTAAAAGAAAAAAGCAGAAAGAAGCAGAATTTTACCTGAAAAAAAAATGAAAAAAGTTAAAATTAGCACAAGAACGTGAAAAGGAACATTTGCAGAACAAAATGTGTAAGGTGCTGTAAAGATTTATAAACATTTTAAAGTATTTTAAGAATGATGAACTGGCAAAAAAGCGGCTAAAAAAAGTGAAATAGCTAAAAAAGTATAAAAAGCTGAAATACCAAAAGTCAGCAGCCCTCACATGAATGAGCTGAACGTTTTGATATTATTATTTTATTATATATATTATATAATGTTTTGATATATGAATTGTTGAAATAGCACAACAATTGTGGAACGAGAAAAGGGCAAAAAAAACACAGAAGAAAAAAGATGAATAGTGTGACTGCTGTGAAACTTTCACACTATTATGAATAAATACATATTTTATTGTATAAAAGTCATCCACCTGGAATATTTTTATTTGTCTGTATTCCTGTAATAACTGGTCTTTGGAACATTTTAACCTGTTTTCATGTCTGCTGCAGCTGTTTTTACTCTGTAAATGAGAAACGTGACATGATTTGTCACAGAGAGGGGGGCCGACCTGCACCTGCAGGACAGAAACACACAGCACAACCAATATTTACCGAAGGTGGGACACGCTCCGTTTGGTGAAACAGAAAAGTGTGAAGACGACAGGAAGAACTTCTTCCAGAGCGGTGAGGAGAGTCACTGACGGAGACGCTCCGACCACCCAGATCTGACAACACAAATAAATAAATAAATAAATAAATAAATAAATAAATAAATAAATAAATAAATCCTTCTTTTGGATAAGCTGCAGGGAACAGGTTCTGTTTGTGAGATAGTTTAAACTTAAACTCAGGTTCAGTTTGATTAAAACTCACCTTGAACACATCGTCCAAACAACGAGTCAGCTCAGACTCCTCCAAAACCACCTCTGACCCCACAGCAGCTAAAACAACAAAAAACAGCCGAAATTAAGCTTCAAATTAGGATTACAGAAGCTGAAGAGCAATCTGTTTAATTCATCTGCAGGACAAACACAAATATGTAGCATAAACAGCCGAAGGAAGTCCTACATAAACAGCTGAAGTGTGTTTGTTTACCTACATAAACAGCTGAAGTGTGTTTGTTTACCTACACAAACAGCTGAAGTGTTTTTGTTTACCTACA